GAGGGGAGTGTGCAGTTCCTTGAAAGAGTTTATAAGTTACTGTTTTACGCCTTTGAGGGCGCATAGATCCTCTGATTAGGTCTCGGCAATAATCTGGTTCGCGTGAATAATGAACTACAGCAAATTCAGTATTTCTGTCCGGTTCAGCACTATTCTGATTGTCATTAGAATCTGTTTTACTATTAAAAAGAACTATACGGTCAGCTTTTGGGGAACGAATCTGAGACTCCTTTGGACTCGCGTCCATCAATACCGCCAATTCGTCGACTAAGTCGTATGACCATCGAGGAACTTCTTTACTTATTTCGTTTATTTCACTACATAGTTTTCTATTAAAAATTGTATTATTAGTAGGATCAGTTCGAATTGCGTCCAATAATAATTTTCTTTTTGTTTTTTTTTCTTCGGAATATATTTTTACTTGTTCATGTTCTGGAAATAAATAAAGTCCGTCAAAATTCAAACTTGATACTGATTTTTCCGAAAATTTACTGATTAAGTTAAAAAAAAAACCAATTTCATTTAATAATAATTTTCTATCAAATTGATCTATTTTCTGTTCAAATTCTGGATCATTACTATTAATAGAAAGAAGGAGACCATGAATCTTATTTATCAAAATGTAGTTTGTTGTGTCAGTTTCATTTGGAATGAAGGGTGAAAAGCCTTTTTGGATTTCTCCACGAACGCGTCCATTCAAGAAAGGATCATATATTTTAGTTAAGTATTTTGTTTTCCTATTATCATCAGACAATCTAATTCGATTTTCAAATACATCCACAGGACTAAATTTAATAGATTTATTATCTATCATTTTTGCCCTTTGAAAAAATTCATTGATTAGTTTATTTCCTTTTTCTTTATTAACAGAGCTCCAATAATTAGACAATTCATTATCATTATAGGAGGTTTTATCTCTTCTGAAGAGATCCATTTTTTTTTCCATGATTTTCAGAAAAGTAGATAAATGAGGTGGATACGTGAAAGATATTCGTTTTTTTCCATCACTTTGACATACCTGAAAAAAAAATTGTGAATTTTCATCTCTTACAACCCTTTCAAAGTGATCATTTTTTATATATCGCAAAGGCCTATTCCATTTTCGATAATCGAAAAGAGTAGTTACAAGAGATTTTTCCAACGGGGCGAGTTTTTTGTTGAAAGTATTCTCTTTTTTATCAGAAAGATAAACAGTAATATCTTCTTCTTCTTCGTTAGTTTCTTCCTTTTCCCAATCTATTGCAGCTTTGACTTCCTCCAGGTCCCTGTCATCGTATCGCATCATTTCCTCAATATAATAATATGGGAGCGGTGTTCTGCCTAAATAGTGTGCAAAGCTAACAAATGAAAAAACAACAAATATTTGCCCCACATAATTTCGCAATTGTAGGAGAATGTATTTATCAAATTTCATAGTTATCTTATATTTGATCGACTTTTTGTGCTGTAACCAGACTAATACCAATCCAATACATTTCATTAAAAAGATGTGACCTATTAACCACCCAACAAAACTACTTGTTAAGAATAACAATTTATTGTTGGATCGAAACAGATAAATGTTCATTAATCTTATTAAGATTGAACTTGGCAAAAGAAAGGGGTTTAATAACTGAAAAAAAAGATTGTTAAAGAATACTTTAACAATCCTAAAATGACGTATTGAATTTGGATTCTTGTATTCAGAATCCAGTTTGGATCCCGAACCCAAATAGTAGTGTTTGTCATTTTTGTGGACAAAATTAAAGAAAAGATACGGTAGAGTTAAGACTGTTATTGTATGAGGTCTACTCAATGCCAAATGCAAAGGCGCATAATAGATCGATGAATTCAACCAGCTTATTAAATCGAGCTCTTCCTCGTCTCTCAAGTTTATCTAAAACTGCGATACGCTGAACCATATTATAGTACGATCGTAGTATCTTGCGCAGTTTTGACATCAAAAGTTTATCTAAAACTGCGATACGCTGAACCATCTTATAGTACGATCGTAGTATCTTGCGCAGTTTTGACATCAAATATGCTACGCAAATTTTGCGTAATTTCCGAAAAGACATTCGGGGTTATCCTCCAGTTTACAATTTTTACTTCCCATTAATTTCTTAAATTCCCTTTCCCTTTCCCTTTCCCTTTCCCTTTCCCTTTTTCTTCTCCACAACCCGAAGGATATGGAGACATCAATGAAAAATCGACCCCCTTGACTAGTTTGCTAGAATATAATATATATTACCTCCCTTTCCCTTTCCCTTTCCCTTCTCCACAACCCGAAGGATATGGAGACATCAATGAAAAATCGACCCCCTGACTAGGACTAGTTTTCTAGAATATAATATATATTACCTCCCTTTGTCCGAATTATCGGAGGGTGCAATATTATTATACTCCAATTCTAATCCAATTGCAACCATGCATAGTCAGGTGCAATATTATTATACTCCAATTCTAATCCAAGTCAAGTCATTTCCAAATTCTAAGTTCCCAAATTCGAAGACTCCAAATT